TGGGAGGGCGGATGAATCCTCTGCTGAGAGTTTGGGAAGGAGGTGCAGGTTCAGCCAACTAGCCTGCAGTTCTGTGAAAGAGCAGGCAGGCTACAGTTTGACAGCTTCCATAATGAAATAAACTTTTGTCCTGACCTATAATCTTTTTTTAGGTTATGTCAAAGGTTAAGAGTTTTTCTTGAAACTTAAACATTTATTGAAATTGAGTTCTCAACTTTTATGTATTTATTTTTAACAGTGTTTAACAGTGAGGTTAACAGACATTACCAGCAGGCAGTAGTTTCATAAAGCTTACATTATGGGCAACATCAATATCATGTTGGCTCCGTTTCGCTTTTTTCTTTCATTGCTGCAAAACGCCACAGTGAAACTACCGCTAGCTAGTAGAACACAGGCTAGGTCAGACATTGGGCTCTGGCTCTCTGTTCACCTTCTCTCAATGACCTTCAGAAAATAACACAAACTAAGGTTATACCGTCGATAGAACGTATTTAATGAACAGAACCCGGCAGCTTTCCTGTTCTGTCCTTTCATAGGTTATCACAATTGGTTACATTGATTTCTTTATACTGCGCTCACATTGTCACATCTCTTCACAGTTATTGATACATGCTTTTATACCTTAACAAATCTTCAGTCAGAACACCATGACCTAAAAAAATCCACTAAAACTGTAACATTACAATATATACCACTATTGTCTAATTTTATTTGCAACGGCACCTCGTTTCTGCATGGATGTCTATACATATATACAGGGCAGCCACATCTACAGATACACGGTACAGCAGTGCGAGTCAACTCTTCTTTAATGTATAAAGTAATGTGTGAAATTTACTGTCAATACACACAATTTTTTAAACAATGTGTGAAATTCAAAAGATGCTGATTTAATTAAATGCATTTTATGTTAAGGCAATGAAAAGTTACCAACAGTTAAATCCACATTGACTGCTGTGCTTTTGAAAAATGAACAGTGTTGTAAAGTATGTGTAACCAATTGTAACGCAAATTCTGAGCCTTTAATGAAGAGAGACAACAGGTTGAAGAGCCATCACTCTCACAACCCAACAGTGCACACCTCATAACTGCTTCTGCAACACGAGCGGAATACATTATTTTCTTCAGTGGAAAGTCATTCTGCTGACAAACTCCCAGCTTTAGTGACGACAGAGCTGACTGCTTATTATTTTCAGCTCATCAGTTGCTTTGCCCTTGTTCCCAGCTTTCTGCAGAGGGCTGTGCAGTGAGCCAGTGAAGCAGGCCATGTGTCAGAGGCTTTACCTTTTCAACTTTGGCGTTTGAAACATTTATTGTGAGTAACTTTTGTAATGTAAAACATGTGGAGTGGGAAATGGAACAAATGAGAAAGATGTGAATGGATGAACTTGTTACCATGGAAACATTTCAACTAATAATTCATGTGTTTCAAACTATGGTTTGTTAGGGGTTTCATGTTATTAATTAATTAACTAATAATTAAATTTGATTTTTCCTTTCTCTCATTTCGGTCTTTCCTTCAGTCCTTGTTTTGGAATCCATCCTAATTAAATGCTGCTGAAAGACGGGAAGGAAAGCACAACTGATCTCAGATTCCCATTTAAAGGTTCCAGGCTGTAACATTTAGGAGGATGAGAGGCCAGAAATAGAAAGTTGTTAAACAATTAAACAAAAACGTAATTTTAGGCTAGTCAACTAGACATCATTTTCCAGGACCCTTTTCAGGAGTTTTCTTGACGAATCAGGGCGTTACTTTCTCAAATGGTCATATTATTTACTGGCAGACCTTAAATACATTTAACCCCAGTGTTATCCATTACACACATGACTGACCGCTACGACGGAGTATTAGGGCCAGACTAAAAGAAAAATGTATTTTTTTGGATGGGGGGGAAATTACGAGAATAAAGTCGTAATATTACGATAATAAAGTCGTAAAAATACAAGAAAAAAAGTCTTTTTAATGAGAAAAAAGCTTCGATAGTGTTAAGATCTGAACCTCAACCAATCAGCAGCCTCAGCCTGAGCCCAGCAGCTGTTTGTCTCAGTCAGTACAGTCAGCAGGTAAACTAACGTATTCATCATTTCGTCGTTAAACAGTTATACTGGCTGAGCAAACAGGCTGACAAAATTACTACTTTATTCTCGTAGACCTAATATTATTACTTTATTCTCGTAATTTCACCCAACATTTTTTTCTCTTAGTCTGGCCCTAATACTCATATAACACACATAGTAACAGTTCAAATGAAGGAGAATCTATTTCATTTTACAAAAAAATTCATCTTCTCACCTATTAGTCTGTTAAAAGTAGAAAGTGTTTGTTGCACATGCAATTAACATCTCTGTGCCCGTATTTATGAACCACAAGGTTTTCCAGGATGCGTGGGAACCCTGTCTTGGTTGTTCACACACTGCTGTGATCTCTGGTGGGGTGAACGCTCACGTGCTTCCACAAGTCGTCCCTTCCAGATATATAATAGCACACAGACTCCATCAGAAAGGAACGGAGCGCACCCAGCAGCCGGCCAGATAGCACCGTGCTGCAGAGGAAGAGGAAGAGGAAGCTCAGGGCTGACATGAGGGATGATCAGCGTAACGTAGCGTTAGCCTAACCACTCCCTGAAAGCTGTAACATTGTGAAGCCTGTGTGCTTCCTGTACTTACAGTCTTTACAGTGGGATCTATTTTGACTGTTTTCTGAACGTTGAATTACTTTTAGACTAGTTGACTCGTCTAAATTTAGATTTTCATTTTATCGACTGCAAAATTAGTGACCAGCAACATCTGTAGACATGACGAGTCTTCATTTTGGGGAGGCGAATGTTAAAGTTGATGTGACAGAGGTTAACACAGTATGGAAAAGTATGGAATTTGGAAAGGGAAAAGGTGTAGAAAACCTTTTGTAGGAATTTTCCTACAGTGGTGTCTCAAGTCAAATGGCTGTGTTAGAAGGCTCACTGGGAGTTTGAGGATGTGGGTTTGATCCTTACTCAGTTCTGTGACCTTTGAGATCAGATGTCTAGAAAAAAAACCAAAAAGCTCTGAGGAAAAGAGAAGCAAGTTCTCAAATCAAATAGCTCATGGTGTCAGGTGACCGACTGGAAGTTTTAATGATGTAGGCTCAGTCCTCACTCACTTGTGAATTTTAAAGTCAGATGTTCAAAGATAAAAGCTCAGAGAAAGAGAACTGACCAGTCAAAATCAAACAGTTAAAACCCACACTCACTCCCTGCCTTACTCTGCGCACTCCTACCATCACTAGTTAATACAGTAAGGATAATATAATTGTAACTCAATCACTACGCATCGTAAATCAGTTCAAAAGATGTCTGGGTATTCAAAGTATTTCTATTCACTCACCAATAATACATATCATCTTTTTCAACCATCCTTAATGGACAATGGCTTCAAAATTTGGTATGACAAGGGCATTCATAGTATTGAGGACCTCTATGTCAATGATACTTTTGCTAGCTTTGAACAACTCTCCAGAAAATTCGATCTGGCAAATAATCATTTTTTGCGATACTTGCAAATTAGAGATTTTACTCGTAAAAAGTTTGCTAATTTTCCTACACTCCCCTCTCCTTCCTGTTTGGATTCCCTATTAAGGGTCAATATGCTGAATTAGAGCAGAATATCATTTATTTATTCCCATATCATGAATAGCTGCAACCTCTCCATTTCACATATTTGAGAACAGTGGGAAAATGACTTGGGGGCCCAGCTATCTGATGAGGAATGGGATATATCCACTCTTCTTCCATATCTTCCAGACATGCTCTAATACAGTTTAAAGTGTTACACAGGTTGCACTTCTCAAAAGCTAAATTAGCAAGAATATTTCCGAACGTAGACCCATTATGCGATAGATGTAAACAGACTCCGGCTACTTCCTATCATATGTTCTGGTCTTGTCCGAAACTTGTTCCTCTCTGGACATCCTTTTTTGAAGTCATCTCTAATGCTTACGCTTATAACATCTCACCTTCTCCCTTGGTTGCTGTTTTTGGTTGGTTTTCTGATCCAGCGGGGTCTGTTCCCCCTGTTCATTTACAGAGGGTCATTTCCTTTTCCTCCTTATTAGCTAGATGCTTGATTTTATTTAAATGGAAGGCTGCTACTCCTCCATCACACCAACACTGGATTAGGGATGTTATGCAGAATGTTAAGCTGGAAAAAATCAGATGTACCCTCAACAGTTCCATCAACAGATTCCAAAAATCTG